TCCTGTAGAACTTGAGGGCTTTTCGGAGAGACTATGTGGGCTCTTGTGAAGGGTCTGGAGCTGCTGGAAGAGGCTCCAGCAAGGTGAGCTGTTTGTATGGGACAGACTCTCAGGGAAAAGCCAGAGCAGGGCAGACAGTGTAGGCCAAGTTAATAGAGAGATTTTGTGCCTGCCTGCTCAGGTCAGCTGGATGGGAGAACTCAACAAAGGGACAATAGCACTCTGTCCCCTGAGAGAGTTCCTACCAATCCCTGCCCCTCTAGCCTGTGCCCTAAAGTTAGTCCATTGAGTTCCTCCCCTTAGGTCCCAGGCACTTCTGGAGCTGCTGCCTCTGTGCTGGAGCTTAGAGGGAGGGAGTTCATGTGAACCCTCTGCCTACAGTGCTAGGTCTCCTATAACCCTTCCTCCATCTCAGACATAATCCCACTGGTGCCCAAAGCTGGATGTTATAGGAACTCTCGGCACAGGTGCCCTGTGCTTTGGAGCCTGAAGTGGGGTTCAGACCTCTGGCTCTTTAGGGGGGACCTGTGAAGCCCAGCTATCCCTCCCATTCATTCATCACCACACAGGGAGTGTGGGACCTGCCCTGACCCATAGTCACACTTACCTGTGTCAACGTGGTTCCTTCTTTATAACCTTAGAGACTTCTATTCAGCTGGTCTTCAGGTGGTCTCAGTGACCTTTGTGCAATAATTTCCACACGTTCCTGGAAAGAGGTGAGTTCAGGATTTATCTACTTGGCCACCTTGATTCCTTGGTGCTCTCCCCTGGAATTTTCCCTAACTTCTATTGGCTCTATCATTGTTGCCCTAATATGCCATATAATACTCAGAAAGTTCAAGCAACAAAGTTCTGATTTTCTCTTCCGCATAAATTTCCAGAGGATTGTACTTACGTGTGAGTTAGGAGGTTTCCAGCTCCTCTGACCGTTTGTCACGTATCCTTCCCTCAAGGGTTTTTATACCAGTAGATAAAGATAAATTCCTTCCAGCATTCCATTCTTTATCTCTTTGCCACACCTGGACATCAGACCTTTGGGAAGTATCTTTGAAAGTCAGACTTATCCGGTCTGACTGGATTATAAGGAGATATTAGTGGATGGGAACAATATTTGTGCTCTGCTATGCTGTTTTTGAAAAATTCCGCACAGAGTGATTTTAGGTCAGACTCTAGACCTGCAAGGCCATTTTTTAAAACTTTATTTATTTATTTATTTACTTACTTACTTACTTACTTATTTTTACTGATTTCAGAGAGGAAAGAAGAGGGAGAGATAGAAACATCAGTGATGACAGAGTATCTATCATTAATTGGTTGCCTCTTCCACTCTCCCCACTGGGGATCAAGCCTGCTACCCAGGCTTGTACCCTGACTAGGAATCAAACTGTGATGTCTTGGTTCATAGGTCAAACTCTGAGCCACACTGGCCAGGCTAAAAGGCCATTTTGAGACTGTTTATATCTGAAGGGATCTTAAACAACCAGGGCCAACTCCTCAACTGATAATGAATAAACTGAGAGCCAGAAAGAGGACTAGAGGATGGGACCCACAGAAGACACACTGTGGGGCCGACGCAGAAGAGAAAGCCGAGTACGCCTGCTCCTACGCAACTGTTCTTGTCACTTAACAAGCATTATTTCACCAAATATTCATTGAGTACCTCCTGCTAAGCAACCTTATCCTATGCTAAAACAAACAAAGAAACAAAGAAACAAACATATAGCCTTTACCCTCAAAAGTTTAGAAAAACAAGTTGCCACTTTAATTAAAAATGATGTATCCCTTGTTGGTTTTGCTCAGTGGATAGAGTGTCAGCCTGTGGACTGAAGGGTCCCAAGTTCGTTTCAGTCAAAGGCACATGCCTGGCTTGCAGGCTGGATCCCCAGCAGAGGCATGCAGGAGGCAGCCAATCAATGATTCTCTCTCCTCATTGATGTTACTGTCTCCCTCTCCCTCTCTGAAATCAATAAAAATATATTTAAAAATGATGAAGAGTTACACTGTGCTTCACTATAATTGATATGCATCTTTCAGATGTTAATAGCAAGTCCATTGAAACTGGAGATTTTGAACTTGTGTATGACAAAGATGTATGGATGAAAGGGTCCACTTGCTAACCTGACAAGCTCGGGGAAGGCCTGTATGGCGGTTCTGCAAACTCAAAGACCTAAAGTAACCACAAAGGATGGTCTGATATTAAAACTTTAACTTAAAGCTGTTCTGGTGGGTAGTCACATCCTAGGCCGGTATCTTCCCTGACAAGGTCAATCTTTACCTTAACTGAGCCTATAGTCTTTTTGCACCTACCACAACATAGAAAATATATCTAGATACCATATCATTGAAATGTCAGGGTTACTTGTAACTTCCCTTTTTTCCAGACTCCTCAGGGCACATCAAATGCCCTGTGTGCCAGGACAGATACCACAAAATCCTTCATTGTTACTGTTATCATGTTATTGACTGTAAACTATCCTGTACCCACCTAAGCAAAAGAAGTATGTGCCTATCATTTTACTTTTTTTAAAAAAAAATAATTCTTTATTGTTGAAAGTATTACATATGTCCCGTTTTTCCCCCCACTGATCACTTCCAGTCCACTCCCCTCCGCCGCCCCACCCCCCACTCTCTACCCCAGGGCCCTCATCGCCCCATTGTCTGTGGCCATGGGCCATGCATATATGCATAAAAGGTTCTTGGTTTTATTTACTTCCCACCCACCCACCCTCCCCTCCTGCCCCATCTGACCCCCAGCTCAGGGGAACTTGGTTATCAGATTGGGGGAGCCGGAACTCAATGGTGGGTGGGGGGCCACCCGGCGGGGCCCTCGCCCTGGCAGCCCCTTCGAACCCCAACCG